GGGGACTTTGGAGGAGAGGGGATGTGGCACTCCGAATAGCTTTATTGATGTGTTGTGGTCGTATTTGGGATTTGTGAATGTTTGTGTATGATTGGTAGTGGTCAAATTTGACATTCTGTTGAGAAAAACGGTTGTATGTTTGTGTGTGTGTGTGTGAGGTTAATGACATTGACGGTCATATTGTGTGTGCGTATTCACAACATGCATTTATGAGTATACCATTAAAATTGAATGAACGTATGATAACCCGCCTGCTTTTGTGTGTATGTGTGTGTGTGTGTGTGTGTGTGCTTGTGTGTGTGTGCTTGTGTGTGTGGGTGGTTGGTGGGTGCTCTGGTCGTGGTTTGCCCCTTCTTTCCTATCAAACATGTATCGTCTTTATCCTTCCCTCTTCGTTTTCGATTTTGTTACTCTCTTGTGACACCTCTAATCTTCTGGCGCTCATAATATGACCTTATGCAGTTGCGAGCGCCGTAAAACCTTCACTAAAACTAAACTAATCTACCTACGTACTGTAAAGTGCCTGTCTGGTGTGCATGCTCTCAAACTGGCACTCTGGAGCACACACACACACACACACGCTCAATGACACACAGACAAACGCACACACGTCCAAGGACATGCTGTTGAGGACACAAGTCACGAGACTTGCTCGGGGCGCGGGTTCTCGTGCGGTGGGACACGAGGATCTCGTGCTGTGAGTGAGGGGACCCGCGTGGGATAGTTCACGAGAAGTGTATATATAATCAGTCAATCACGGCTTTCAGTAGGACAATCGGACGAGAGAGAGAGAGAGAGAGAGAGAGAGAGTAGGGGACAGAGCCTTGGTCTACTCACTGCAGGAAATATACAATGTACTACATTTATTGAAATTAAAATCCTCATCATCCACGGTACCGGTAAGAGTTTTTGCTTATCATTTTATAATAATATAATATCGTTTTAGTTAAGTTTTAATAGAGGTTTTACGGCGCTTCCAACTGCATAAGGTTCTATGAGCGCCAGAAGATTAGAGGTGTTACAAGAGAGTAACAAACATAAAAAAGAAGGAGGGGAGAAAAGGACGATAGATGTTTGATAGGAAATAAGAATCAAACCACACCAGAGCACCCGCCAACCACCCACATAATGTCGTTTAACGTGTTGTGCAGTACTGTGTTCTGCAACACACGCACTCACAAAAAAAACCCCACTGCGGCATGCGTGTGTGCTCACGAACACGAACATGCACTCACACACAAAAGGACTCGCACACGAAAGGACTCACTCACACACACACACACACACACACACACACACACACACATGTGCGCGCGCGCGCACACGCTTACGAGAAGGAGAGGGGTAGAGAGAGCGAGTGGGAGAGAGAAGGGTAGCTGTTGAGACTTCCCGGGGGAGAGGGAGGTAGGGATAGAGAGAGACAGAGACAGAGACACAGAGACAGAGAGTCGAGGAGGTGGAAGATGGAACATGTTGCAAGACTCAGTCTCAAGGCAAAGTCAAAGAACATTGCGTCATCACACACAGAGAGAGAGGAGAGAGAGAGAGAGAGGAGATAGAACAAGTTAAAAAAACCCTTAGTCTCAAGGCAAAGTCACAGAACGTATTGCGTCATCACAGAGAGAGAGAGAGAGAGAGAGAGAG